TCGCGCACTCGACACGCACGATCTCCGCAGAGGGTTGCGCGCACACCCGGCAAATCGCACTCTCGCCTGCATTTCGCGCACTCGACACGCACGATCTCCGCAGAGGGTTGCACTTTCGGTTGACGCTGTTCGTCCCGCCCTCCGCCTTGAAAAGAGAATTTATAATGTGGGGAAATGTTTGTTCATTAGGACATCTCCCGTGCTAGTTTTCCATACTCACACTTGCCTACTCATTGCATGCTTGTTGCACGCTTGCATAGTCATTGCATGCTTGCATACTCACGCTTGCATATCATGCTTGCATACTTATACACTTGCATACTTTGACGCTGGCATACTTCGCACTTGGATGCTTTCGCTCTTCCAGTGTGTGTGAGTGTCGAAGTGTAAGTGTCGAAGTGTCAGTGTTCAAAGGATTTTCCGGAAGAACCCTTCGCAATGCTTTCGGGAAAAAGACCCCTATACCAGAGGCCAATGGAAACGCAACGATGACGAACGTGTCTGTCGAGAATGCATCCAAGACAAAGCCACGTCTGGCACCCCGTGGCAGTGTAATAATTGTAAAGTCTGGCGCGCAGAGGCAAATTTCCCGAAGAAGTACCATCGACCACAGTGCACGTATTATCGCGTGTGCCTGACATGCGAGGTGCGCAAAGAGTGCGCCAAATGCGGCGTGCGGCAAGCGGAAGCTGCCTTTGGCGCGGCAGCCTGGAAAGCGCGCCATGTGGACCGAAGAGTTTGTCGCGGATGTGCGCACAAGCAACGCGGTTGGTGGCAGTGCCACACTTGTTACGTGCGTAAAGAAACCTCCCAGTTTAGCACGTGGCTGGCAAGGCCGCGCAGAACCGTGTCCACGATCGATTGCCGGCGCTCCCCGCCGATGCTACGGCCAGCGGGTCCGAGCTCGAGCGTCGCCGGAGGCTGGTGGCGGAGACATGGGCCGAGATTACGGCGAGACAAGGACAAACAACGGAAAGGACACAAAAGAAACGCAAGACGGAGACGCCGCCCAGCAACGAGAAGACCGCCACTCCAACACCCACCCAGGTCACAGCTGCAACGCCACCAACCCTGCCCAGCGCAGCTGAAGTTCCTGGAACAAAGGTTTACCACTATGTTTGCCCGTTCTGCTCTCAAGAAACTCGAAGTTCCATGCACACTGGCCAAATCGACCATCGTCTTGTCTGCGGCAACCAATTCCGGGTTGTGCAGGGCGTCGTTTGCGGGCGCGCGCGCCCACACCTGTCCCACCTGTGCGATGGTTGTGTTCTCGTCTAAAACGACGGGGCGAGTCCGAATACAACACACTCAACCCAATGGCAAGCCTTGCCCCTGCGCCTCCTGGAACGTCTGAGCAACCTACTGTCCCCTGTCTCTCTCGACGCCCTACATACACAGCTCCAGAAACCCCCTCCCAAGACTCCCGACACTCCCGACACTTCGTACCCTCCACACCATGCTCGTACCCTCCCTCCAAAAATTCTCCTCCCACTGCGGGCCCAGAGTCTCTAACGTCGCGTTCGGATCCCGTGAAACAAGTTTTTGAAGCAGCCTCGAGCAAGCCCTTTCTTTCGCTTTCGGACCTCTAGGAATGTCTGCGGCGTCGAGCCGTATCTGGATATCTAATATCGCTCAAAACATCGCTCAAAAAAGGTCGGGATGCAGCCTCCAGCAAGCCCTACTTCCAGACCAAAAATCCTCCAAAAACAGTTCATACCCTCAACACCAAGCTCGTCCCCTCCCTCCAAGGCTTCCGGCAATCTGCTTCGCCACGCCTTTCCACCATCTAATTCGAGACCAAAAATCGTCCAAAAATTGTCCTCCCAGTGAGGCCCAGATGTCTAACGTCGCTTTCGGACCCCGTAAAACAAGTTGTTGAAGCAGCCTCGAGCAAGCCCTTTCTTTCGCTTTCGGACCTCTAGAAACGCCTCTATCCCGCTGTCTGCGGCGTCTAGCCGTATCTGGATGTCTGACATCGCTCAAAAAAGGTCGTGATGCAGCCTCCAGCAAGCCCTACTTCCAGACCAAAACTCATCCAAAAACAGTTCATACCCTCAACACCATGCTCGTACCCTCCCTCCAAGGCTTCCGGCAATGTACCATCTAATTCAAGACCAAAAATCGTCCAAAAATTGTCCTCCCAGTGCGGGCCCAGATGTCTAACGTCGCTTTCGGATTCCGCTGTCTGGGGCGCCATCTCCGGGGCCGCTCCGTGCGCCCCCACAAAGCAAGACCATGCTCGAACCCTCCACACCATGAGCACTCGTACCTTCTCTCACGCGCTCCCTTGCAGTCGCAAGGGGTCGGCGGATATAAGGTATATATATATATACACATACATATTTGCGATATATGCATAATATGCATGTTATAGTGTACATACCATACACAACATTTTTTTAATGTCTTGCAGTTGGTGTCATGACACAGAGCCTCAGGAAGACGTATCATATTCGCGTAAGTGGAGGCAGCGCAAGAATTCAGACAGCATTATATAAAACTCAAGTTTTGTTGTTACCACTTCTTTTGTCCACAATTGCCACTTGTTCCTGCTTTGCCTCATTTGTTTGCTTTGCTGGTTCTCATGTCCAGGCTTCGTTGCCTACCTTATATTCTTGACAGTTTTTGTGACGCTTGTGCAGCACATCAGAATTAGTTTGCCCTCAATTCATACATGGAAAAGAGGCACGCAAAACTCATTCGGAAACTCGAATGTTGTGTTTTTTTCGCCGTTGACGATAGATTGATCTTGGTGTGGACGCGAATGCTTTTGCTGAGTCACCTAGTGGTCGCCTGAGGTTTGCCTACACCATCATTTTATACTATGCCCCGGAGAAACTTGATTGAAACGTCGACAGTTCCACTTTGCAAGTTCGCTTTTGGTCAGCACAGTACGATGAAGCGTCGTTGCTGCGGAAAGTGGCAGGCCAGGCCGAAAGTTGAGTTTGGTCACGTCGCAGGCCGGAAGGTCAGGCTTGCCATGACTTGCCTCTGATTAAAACGACTTGATTTAGAAACTGTGCTGAGCCATGTGAAACAGCTGGGCAAAGCAGTCGGCTTTCCTAGCAGTCAACCCAAAGCAAACTTATGAAGGCGGACTCTGCGGTCAGAAGCTGGTTGGGCGTCGCCTGCGGCCACATAGTGAGACATACATAAAATTAGAAATACTCTTCCCAGGTCAAGGAGTCCAACTTCTGCACAACACACCCCGTCGAATTAACTCACTGTGCGTGCATGCTGTTTGACACAGCTGCTACACTTGCCTCGACATTGGAGGAAAAATCTTCAAACATCGCACAATGAGATGACCTCTTGCACGAACCACAACGCACAAGTTCCAAGCCCATTGCGCAATCGAAGAGGGTGCCCGACATGCGCTGCCCACATGGCGTGAAGACACTGACATCCGCCGCAGTCCTGAGGTGATGTCGACGCTCCAAGGCTGGTCGCGTTGGCTGAGGTCAGAGTAGCACATGCAGCTTTGATTGAAGGCGTTTGTCGGGGCATCGCCCCTGAGGTCTGAGTTGATCAAGTGAAACATATCAAAAGTCTGTCGCAACTTCCACAGTTCGACCATTTTTCACGCACCAGTTCGATGCACCACGACCCTTTCTTTCTTTATTTCTTTTTTGGGGGAGGTAGGCCGCTAGTAGAGGTAGGAAGTAGCTAGTATCTAGAGGTAGCTAGTAGGAGCTAGGTAGCTAGTAGCTACAAGAACCCTATTGCTGACAGGACGCAGGATAGCTCGCGCTTCTTCAAGGAAACTAATGATTTGACCTAGATTTTAAGGGAAACTAACAATGCGATGCCCTTGTTGCTAGTAGCTTCTTGCTGCCAAAAAATATGTTGCAAAATCTGGCAAACATGCAAATACCTGGGCCAGGCACATTCCTGCATGTCAAGGGCGTTAATATGTATCCGGCTTGATTTCTACTTGACCAAAGCCAGGTGCGACTTTAAGACGATTGGGCACATTCCTACTGCCTATCCCTTTCAACCTACAGTTGGATTCAAGCAGACTCTGTGCAAGAATCGGTGCCATACTAACCCCCTACCTTGGACTAAGATTGCAATACAGTATCATGATTGCTGGATTATATATAGTAGGTTTATTGCAGACTTGTTTACATATTCGAAGCGTGTTTGGTTCTTAGGTGGGGTCATGGTCTGTCTCCAAGATATCCGACAGAGGTTTTTGGAAAAACCAGTTGCATTCCAATTTTCTTCCCCAAACAGTTTACTGTTGGGGTTATCTCTCAGGAAAAGACATTGGGCACAGTCTCAGTATTTGGACTCGCCTTTGAACCCTGTGTCCGGGTGTTGTCCTGTTGTTCTTGTCCTCCTGCTGTTCTCTGGCCGCGTTGGCAAAACCTGCGCCCTCGTCCGGTGCTTGTCCGGGCCTTGTCCATAGCATTTTTTGTTTACATGCAACTCCCAATACAGAAGTTACCACCAACATTGGAATTCAAGGAGTTGATGCCAAAAAGATAGTGCTGGGAATGGCACCGACAGTCTAACTAATGCATATTGTACATGCATGAATATGTTTTGGAATGCCTGTTATTGAACGAATTTGGCAAAGGTACACCACCATAGCCTATAGCACACAACTAAAGGGCCTTTAACAAAATGAACATGCTTGTACTGCCATGCATGAGTTTGATCTCTGATACAATGTATACATCTCGCTAAGAACAGATGGAGTGCAAAGAGTAGGATAATTTGCACCACGACCACAGCATAGCTGCTTGAAAGAAGCGGCTGACCAGGAACGGATCGTCAGACCTAGGCAGGGTCGGCAAAATGGCTGTGGATCAAAATGGGGAACTTGGTTGATCACCGAAAATGAACAGAATCGACTACTTGGTCAAGCTAGCAGGGAGTAAAGCCCCGCCCGGATCTTGACCCACAGCCAAATGAACTTGTTTGGTGGGTTCGAGGTGTTTGCTCAGCGGTCCTAATTCTGTCTGATAGAGTTGGTTTCAATTTGTTTCAATCTCGTTGGTCTACCCCTCCCTTTGTTCCCAATTTGTGTGGCTTAGTCAAATTACATTTCAGAGCCACACCTTGGAGCTGGTGATGTATCTTGATCTATATAGCTCTAATCTGGGTATATATTTGAAAGCATTTGTTGATGGTGTGTTTTCCTCATTTATTTGCATTGCCTTCCAAGCTGGCAGGCATTTCGTTTGAGAACCTGCTTTTATTTGATGTGGCCTATGTCACTTGGATGCAGAAGTTTGCTGCTTCTAAGAACGAAACAGATCTCGCGAAAGGAAACTCCACTGACGCAAAAGTGAAAGGATACCTCATAGGTTGTCAGTTTGCTGTGCTCAATTTGGAAGACAGATACCAAAATGACGGTAGTTGCAAGCGGGACATCTGCCGGCCATATTAGCACAAGAATCAAGAAAAAAAGAAGACCTTTCTACAACCACTAAGTATTCCAAAAAGGATCCCAACAATTTTACTCTTTTTTGTCAGTGCTCCCGCCAGTGCTTCATTTGCATTTTCATCATTCTGATGCAAGTGCCACGCAAGATTGTCGCGAACTCAGCGCCAAAGCTTGAAACTCTGGCCGCAAGATAGTGGAAGTGAGAACTCGTCCTTGCGCTTGGCGAGATACGAGAGAATGACAAGCTCCTTATCGTTTTTTGTTGCAGGAGCGTTTGCAGGTTTGTCGCAGAAAGAAGCTTTTAAATATGATGCCTTCTTGCCCCATTGACATTTGCAGGACACGAGTTGTCCCCATCGAATCTTTGGTTGAGATCCGCATCATCCGACGTCGCACATGCTGCGACAGACAAAGTCGGAACGGACCTTAGTTACTCAGATGTCTTCCTTAAAGGGAGCTGCAAGCTGACGCCCTTTTGACCAAACTTTTCTCATCGTGCCCACCCTAAAGGCACAAACAAGTGGGCAGACGCAGCAACGATGTACAAATGGGATGCCACTGCGGTTAGTTTGCTAGGTTCGCAATGACATTCTAGTCACTCTAGAAGGCCACACTTCTAGTGAGCAGGTCTCTTGCATCAAGACAAAGAGTCACAGAGTAGCCACAGCCATTTTGATTCTAGACTCGCACCTCCAACCCTGGCCAGCAACGTCCAGCCGCTGAGGATGTGCCTGTATCCTTCAAAGTGCTTCTGGGGATACCCAACAAACTTCGAGCGCAATATCATCGTTGTGACCGACTCGACTTGTGCCACATCCGCACAGATCATTACAACATGCTTCCTTGACATGATTCTATATTGGACTCTATTGCAATTGCAACATCTGCAGTGTGTGTATCTCTCCTGGCCAAGAGTAAGGCAATAACTACTTCTTTTGCGTTCATGAAATGGAGGCAGCCTGGCAAGCAGCCTTGTCTCGATTTTGTCCTTCAGACAGTCTCAATGTTTTGGCAGGACTTCATGGCGGACAATTGGCCAGCAAACGACATGGAAGCGGTGAAGGCTCGGGGGGCAGGACCTGCTGGGTGTATTGAGCGGTACCGTGTAATGCCGCGTACTGTGCTCAATTGACTCCAGGAAGCTAGAGTTTGCATTAGGTCTGCGACCGTCCTGATCCTGCAGTGCTTGGCTTGGGCCATAGCTTCATACAGCTCACCCCTCTTTTGGTCTTCATCTTGATGCATGCTGTAAAGACAAGGGAAAGGGTACTGCCTTGATCAGTCAGTCAGGTACTGGTCAAGGCCTTTGACCACTTGCATGATTCCTGTGCAGATCCCGAGAAGCATTCTCAAAGAGAGGCCTTCTCAACATCTGGATAGCTTTTCTGGTTCTGAGACTTGCAGTGAGACATGGAGGAAGGACATTGATTTTTGTTGTTCCTTTTTGATACGTCTGAGACTCTACGGTGATTTGTTGCGCTATGTGAAATTCACGTATCTTCAATTTCTTCATTCGGTCAAAGAGTTTTGCTTGAGAACAAGTGCTGCAGGTTTCAACTTGCCGCTTGTTTTAGACTCCAGGCGGACAGAAGGTCTCGCCAAATTCGCAAGCTGTGCTTCTTGAGGAAGTCTCCGCGAAAACCGGTGGCAAGGATCATGGACTACCATGAATAAACATTGGTACATGTTGAATGCTTGACTCAGTGCTCTTCAAGCTTAACAAGCTCTCTACAGCATCTCAGCCAAAGCAATCACTTGTTCCCAACACTTCAAAGGCAATACAACTCTGTGGCAAATCTGGTGCAAATGCTCCACCACACTGACTTTCAGGCGGCAGTTCGCTTCGAATGTAAAGTCACCTTGGAAGTTGTTGATCCTGCGAGCTCAGGCTGTCAGTGCAGCCATGCGTTCTGAGACTGAGACTGCTATGGGCAGTCTCTTCCTCAAGCTTGCGTTTAGCTGTGTGATATGGCAAAACGGAGAAATGGAGAGGAGGGTACTGTATGCTGCTAAGTGGTACAATGAACAATCAGCAAACAACTTAATTACAGTAGGTTGACCAAGGATTCGTTCTTCTTTGTGTCCTTTCTGATTTGCAGCACAGGTTGGAGTTTATCTGGTTGGAATGGAAGAGGTTCAAAAAAGAGCTGTTGTCAAAAATTGTGCTGTCCACCAAAAAGAGGATGCTTTTGTTGATAGGAGGGGGCAGAGGCAGGCTCATGTTTCTTGCCAAGACTGCTGTGTAGACCGGAAAGCGGTGGTGCCCCTTTAACATCGCTCTTTCAAAGAGGGAACTCCTCCAACGTCAGGAATGTGGGTCAGCCAAATGCTGGCATTCCCAAACACCCGAATGACATGCAAGAGAAACGAACAAGCTCCATCGGATATTAGTTGAGCATTATTTCTGTTTGTTTTTAACCTGCAAGGTTAGAACCCAAGGTGGTACCTGATCAACATGAGTTTGATTTGAAGATGTGGGCTGTCATAGCAGACCCAGTGATTTGTTGGCATTGGTGTGTTATCAGCTGAGGGGTACAGTTCTCCCTTGGTGTCGGGGTGATGGAGATGGATGCTTCTTTTTTTTCAGTTTTTTTTCCTTATATACATGTTCAACAACGAAATTGGGAACCATTGCATTGACGCACACTTGACTGTGGACGGCGGTGCGGTGGCAAAATGAGGCGCTTCTCTCTTTTGGAGACAGGCCTTCGAGAAGGCCTGAAGGAAAAGCAACATTAGGTTTCCCCCAAATCTAGGAACCAAATCATTATATACTAATGTTTGAACTATTCTGCGTCCTAGGGAGTACCTTAAGCTTAGTAACTATGCCTTACTGGCCTTACTTGTTAACTTGCTTGAGCCTGCTCCGGCCTACCTCCCTGCGGCCGAAGATAAAAAGGAAAGACAACATCTCTTTGGTTCGTGACATCTCCTGGCCTTACTAGGAACAAGGACGCTACTAGTAACAAGTGCATCGTTTCTAGTAACAAGTGCCTTACTAGTAGTAACAAGAACGCTACTAGGGGCTCCTGGCCTCACTACTAGGAACAAGGACGCTACTAGGAGCAAAGGGCATTGCACGTGACACACAAGCGACAGGTCTTATCTGCGAGCGATGGAGCCAGCCGAGAGTCAAAGAGCCGCATCAGGCAAGCCATTCCCTTAGCGGCTAAGCCTTAGCGCTTTTCATTGTTTGCTTTCACATCGATGCAACTTGTTTCAGTTGTGAAACACCACCTCCAAAACAGAGTGTGCAGGATCCAACCTTCGGCATTTGCTTCCAAATGTGTGGTTTTGGTCTTCTGCCTTTTCAATCAAATGATGGACACTGCCAAAGCCACAGAGAGGATGTAACAGTTGTCTTCTTTGGGAGACTTTCAGTCGCGCACAAGAGCAATTTCACTTGGCCATCTCCGGACGCGAGTCTTCATACAAAGGGATGCATACTTTCAGCACGGACAATCAACGAGACATAAATAAAGAGATGCCAAAAGGTAGCTATAGTGGAGCCCTTACCTTCTTTGTTTGGAGCGAAATGAGCAAAGCCTTATTCAGGGACAAGATTGACCTGTAGCCTACCCACAGTAGTGGCTGAGTGCACTGCACATCCCAATAAAAATCACTTTGACAACAAGAAACATCCATATTGCACTATATCGACAATACAATACTGACCTTGCTTTGGGCACCAACCAGGAAGGGCTTATCCAGAACATTGGACTGCACTTCTTTGGCTCAAGAATGAACACAGGTTCACTCATCGTAGTGCATAAGATAGCAACCACTTGCAGCTGGCCATTGATGCAAGCAGTTCGGGGTTGTTGACTTCACCAATATTGGCCACAGTGAGTAGCTGCTATATCGTGCAAGTTACCTAATTACAACTCAACAATCTTGATGGAAAGCAGGCTGCTATATCGTTGTTACCTCGTGCACGAGCTCAATTGAAATGCACTTGACACTGACCACGGTGAAAGCACTGACAAGCTGCATCGTGATACGATGGATGTCGCGCACTCTGCGTGGGAATGCGATGAGGACAGATGTTGCAACCTGATTCCTTCCTGGACCGATCATAGTCAGTCAGCACAAGCGCACTCACCAATCAATACATGAATATGCATGACGGATATGCACAGGGATACACGGACAAAATGGATCAAGATGGACTGGTGGAAAACAATCTGACTACTAAAAGTCTTTTAGGATCTTTTAGGCATGTACAGTATCTAGCTGATAATACATTCTGCATTATCGCAGGACAAACCTACAATCTCATGTTGCAACACGAGCATGCCGGTGGCACACCCAGGCGCGAAACACATAGGCAGCCTCTCTCTCTCTCTCCCTAATAAGCACAAGGGTGAGTATTGATTGCACGGGATGAGACTCTGATTGTCAATGTAACATTTGTTCGGAGTGCTTTAGCTTACATAAAGGCGAGGATGTTTTGCCATCAATTTGGTGGATACTTTAACCTGCTTTTATGATGAAGATCCTTCAAAGGAAATTCTGCTCTTTGACTGCCAGCATTCAGCTCAAGCGGAAATAAGTTCTTCAGATCGCAGGGTTGAACGTGGATCGGCCAGCGGAGCCTTTGCCATGGATGCTATTGTCAGAACCCTGGTGGCAGTGCAGTAGTGTTGTATTTCAGATGTTACAAACGGTCTGGAAACATTGTTATCCTGGGACTTGTGCTTCGATTGTTTGGAGTATGTTTGAGGGGAGTGTCGCCTGCGGGGCACGTCGAAGACCAATACAGGCTTTCCTTTGCTGCCAGCACCAGAGAAGCCTTGCTGACCCGGCAAATGTCTGAGGAAAAGCGATCGAGACTCCTGTTCCCATGGATGATGACCTCGACAAACCTCCCGAAGGGGGTTATGGGCCCATCCGGCGAAAAGGCGCTCAAGCACAACATGACATTGCGGGGTTGCATCGTTGAATCGAAGAATAATCATTGACATGCCAGGTGCTCATGAAGTATTCCTGTTGTCATTTGTCTCACCACAAATTGCTTCACACAAGTCGCATAATATAGTTCAATGATTTGACTTTGATTTGGTGAACCAATATTGGTTGTTTGGTTGGGACTTCCCTCGATTTCTTGGAACACCAAGTAGATTTCACTGGTTCAAGGCCGTGCTTTTCCGCCTCCTAAGGTGAGGCCTCTGATGGCATTGTCTTTCAGCCAGCCGAAGTTGAGGATGTGGTGATCGAAGCTGTGGATGAGAAGGAGGAGGGAGACGGAGACATGCCGTACAGCAAGCCGCAGTTTCCTGCTCTCACACCGTCTCGCGGCATTATTTTCACGTTGGTCACGCTGCACCTCAATGATTGATTGTGGAAACTATGCGTGCAATTGTAAAGCCATCGTTCGATTGGTAGTTCTTTCTTTGGCCAAGGAAGCAGCAGGGCGTAAAAAAGCAGATGCGTCGCGTTCCAGTACCTCCGCACAGGAGCTGTAGTGAGGGAGACGGATCAAGAAAAAGCAAAACAAGGAAAAAATAACAAAACGGAGTCATTATAAAAGGAAGGAAGAAGGACAGAAAGAACAGAAGGACGGAAGGACGGACGGGCGGACGGGCGGACGGACAAAAGGAGGGAGGGAGAGAGAGAGGGAGGGAAGGAGGGAAGCACGGAAAGAGGGGAAGGAGGAGGGTGAGGGATGAGATCTCCCAGATGTGGCAGGTGTGCTACCAACCTGGACTAAACACTAGTGTGTGGCTGTGAGTTCAAGCGAACGGCAAGTGACCTCATCTGCTGTATGTTATCGGAGTGCATGCTGTAATTGGGCATTGAGCCAAATGAGAATCAATATGTAAACAGCTCAAAACAAGAAGAAACCATAAAGTCTTGAAAAGGCCATATTGCGTACCTGAGCCAGGGAGACTGGAAATTTAAATGGACTCAAGTTTCCATGCGTCGGAGCACATTTTGTTACTTTGTTTTTCTTTCTTCAAAGATGTTGAGGTTTCACAGTTTCACACGTAGATCTTCTAGATCAACACTTACCTCTACTGTCTCTTTTGTGGTGGACTAAGTTTGAACACTTGTTGGAGACGAGTCCCGTCGCTGGATGTGAACACTCGTTCCATAGATGGGTTTCGGGCTTGTGCAAAGATGGCAATTGCCACCTCCATGCACACGTTAACGTCCAATGGTGAGGTCAATCCGCAAATCTTCAAGTGTTTGCAAAGGTACAGTTGGAGGTGGGAAAACAGGCAAAGATTTGATGCTTTGTACAGGACACGCCGTTTCAAACATCGTTGGACGCTGACCAAAAAATGTCCGACAACTATGCTTGACTAGAGATTTTCAAGCTCTCGTTTCCCTGTAGCACAATAGCAAAAGGCCCTTGCATCCTTCAAACATGAACTTGGATGAAAATGCAAATTTCGCTGCAGCGAAGCGCGTTTGAGTGAAACACATTGTAAATGAGC